AAGCTGCTAAACTGGATTTAACGGCGATGCAGCTGGGCGTGCACAACGACGGAGACATTTTAAAAGGACAATACTCGCTTGTTTTCAGCACCCCCGAGGCATGGATACTAATGACGTCAGATTCTGGGTGAGTCGTTAATCTCTACTGATTGGTTAGGGAAAAATCAAATTCCCTCCCCCTTGTAAATCGCCTTCAATGGAGCCAATGTCAGACTGAAGGTTCTGGGAGCTTCAGTCTGACACTCAGGCTACTAGGTGTGCAGAGATGAGGAACTATTCGGTGTCGAGCTGTTGCGCGTACATGTTTGCAGAATTCACAGCTACAGAAGAAAACAAATGATGGCACAGTGCCAATATCACTTTTGTATTGTAACTGGCTGACAATGAAAAAGGTAAATTATAGTGTTTTAGTGTATATTACAAAGGATGTCGAAAGGTTTTCAGACTTTGTGGTTTGCGTCCCTTTCAACCAGGCAATGCCCACACTGACCCCTTTATACTGGTGCTTAAGTCTCTGAACTGTGACCACTTCAAAGAACTGGTGTGATTTTTCCATCTCAGATTGTTTCACTTTAGAGTCCAGAAGAAGTAAAACTCTCCAAGACATCAGCAGAGATATCAGAAAAGTAAAGAAATGCTTTTCCTGTTCTGTACTATTTTGTTAATCATATCGTGACGTCTAAGATTGATCTTGCAACCCAGTTTGGGAACCTTTAATATGAAAATGTAGGTTACCTCTTGAATAAGTGTCCATATATGAGAAAAATCAATTCTCATGAATAAGGCATCTTGTTTGGCAAATGCTTTTGAAGACTGCACACAGTAAATAGAGCAGCAGAGAGCCAGGGTGTATGCAGGAAGAGAGTGATAGAGTCAGGAGGAAAATGAGAGGGTAAGGAGGCCCTGTGGCATATACAGGAGATGTAGAGAGGTGAAGAGTGGGAAGGAGGGCAGGAGAGTGCAGCGGGAATGAAAGGCCGAGGTTAGGTAGCATTAGGGAGGAGAAGGTGGGGGGTTGTTCACTGTAGAGATGAGAAAGAAGCGAAGGGTTTAGAGGTTAATGACGACCTACAGTAAGAGACGAGGAGAAAGATTCAGCAGCCATCTCACGCTTTTCACAAACCTTGAGATCACAGGAGAAGGTGGTGGGTACTAATCTGGCTCATTATGGTCAATGGGGCTAATGGTGGCTATTGTTCTCCAGCAAATCCCAGTTGAGTCTTTGGCTTGTGTGAGTGTGTGTATTTTCAAATGTAACAGTTTCATCATGCACATTTCCTCTCCCTGCTGTTCCAGCTTCCTCTCTTTTAAGATGGTATTATTTTATGTTTAGAAGAAATCTCAGCACACTTCTATCAGTCGTTGTCTATATTCAGCCCCATTTCTGGTGAAGACGTTGTGTCCCAAATAACCGTCAGTTATCACTGTGACTCAGATTCAGTCATATGATGTCCGAGATAGCACTCGGAGCAAGAGATGACCTCTGAAAGCATCCAGTTTCCTTCAAGCTTGTAATGCCAGATTCACTGAGTGCACACTGCCATTAAGAAGAGAACCACAGAAATACAAGAAATAGGACAAATGGTGTCCATCTTGTTGTGGATTTTAGGGTTATGGCTGTTGGGTCAGTGAGGATTAACCGTTGCTGTATCCATATTATTTTCATACTTTACCCCACCCCCCTCAACGGAAAGCCAACATCAGGATTAATGACTTTGTTTAGGCTCCTATGGCGATAATCCCCTTTAATGCTTCAGTAGCATTAGCCTGCACCTTTCCATTCTGAACTCAGATGGCGAACAGATTGTTCCGGAAGAAAGGTGTCTAACCAAATCCCCGTCACAAGCCGCAACCTCTAGTCCCTCTTCCTCCTCATTTTTCTTGTTTCATGCCCTTTCTTCCTTCCACACCTGTTGCAAGACATTTTCCTTGAACCTAAACAATGGCTGACTTTCCCGAGCTCTGACAGGCCGACATCTGGAAAAAAACAACTAGCTGGCTGTTGCCCCCCTCCTTGCTGAATTTATAGCAGCATGCCATTTGACAGGGTAGAGCTGCTCTGTAGAGGGTGAGCAGACTTAATGAGGTAGAGTGAAGTTTATATGAAATATCACCTTCTAATGTATGTAAAGTAGTTTGATATTAAGTGGTAATAGACTGCAGTCTAATAGTCAATAACTATAGTCAAATAGTCAAACTAAACCCAGCAGAAAAATTAAGAAAATTCTAGGAGAGCAACCAGTCGATTCTCTTTTCTGAAGTCTAAACTGTCTGTAATTTTCTTGATTAATTAATTAGTTGTTTGGTCTATAAAGTGTCAGAAAATGGTGAAAAATGTCAATCCGTGTTTCCCAAAGCCCAAGATGGCACCCTCAAATGTCTTGTTTTGCCCACAACACCAAGATGTTTAGTTTACTGTCTTAGAGAAGTAAAGGAACCAGAAAATATTCACATTTAAGACACAGGAATCAGAGCATTTGAACATTTTTTTCTTTACAAATCACTCAAACCGATTAATCGCTTATCAAATTAGTTGGAAACTTAAGTAATAGTTGATGACTGATTGATTAATCATTGCAGCTCTATGAGAGAGATATCTTTTATTTTTTGTTTTGCTTATTGCAAGTCATTTTGATTTGATTCAAGTGTCAGTGGGCTGAGGTACATATAGTCATGTTGTCTTAGGTTTGAATTTGACCTTGGTTGCATGTCACTCTGTCACACTATTATTTTACAATCTTACGTACAGACAGGTTTTATAAATATACGGCAGAAAGCTGGGGTTAAGTATGTGCTTGGGTTCCCCACTGTCAGTGGTCTCATATGTTTTGCCTTAAATGATGAGACATGGATCCTTTTTCCTGTCAGAGGAGGTTGTTCATTGTTTTACCTCATGTGAAGGAAAAGTTAAAATAGCATTTGATAACGCTTAAGGCCGACCTGAGGGAACAATAAGCACAACACCCTCCTGTTGTCAAGCTCAGCACACGGAGCATTTATCTCCCCAGATGGACTCTTAATACATGTTGAAGGGAAGTGAATGAAAAACAGGCTCCACTTGTGCCTCTGGGTAGCTGCTTCAAGTTTAAGAGACATGTTCTTTGTCTTCACAGTTTGCACCTGGCAAACTCGCTGCCTTCTTTTTGTGGACTTAAAAAAGGTGCAGAATAAGAGAAAGGCTATACATATGGCCTGCTTTCATTTATAGGGAAGCCTGTTATTGACTCGTGCTGACACACAGACACACATGCTTGTAAGCTCAGGTGCAAAACTAGAGCGGATACACAAATATACTCATGACCCCATGCGCATACGTGCACACATACATCGACACATGATAACTGCTGGGTTGTTTTCATGCTATAAATACTCCTCTGGTAGAGCCTATCCCATTATAGACACGTGCAGCCTCCCCCCTCCGAAATCCTCATATAGCATGAAAACTTTAAAAGATATAAAACGTCAACCTTCCCAGAACACTTCATAAATATTAAATGTGGGACTCTATTGCACAGAGGCATGCCTTATCTTTGGTTTAAAGTGTGGTGTAATGTTTTAAGTGGCCTGTTAATTTGAAGAACAAGCTGTTTAACTGTGACTGTGAAAGAGTTATTGCTTCAGAGTGTATTGGTTTAATGAAGCAGCACTTTAGGCATGTTTACGGGACAACAAACTCAGTCTAGTTTTCACTTGAGATGTTGGTTTCTGCTTGTCAGGTTTTCTCATGATCAGTCATATGGTGACTGCCTATTACTCCAACCACCCAGAATTCCACAGTCCTGATAGTCCCACTGGACCGAAAGCCCATTTCTTCGACAGTCTGTTATACCAGAAAACAAATGTCCCATTGCTCTGTAGTCCTGTTTCTTAGAGAATACACACTCCTTTCAGTTCCCAATTGCCAAAAAAATGTTCCCATTGTACATTTCTTTAAACCATGGAGAGTTTACATTAGTCAGCAACACTGTGGTGAACGTGTGGTTAGGTTAAGCTACAAAAGTCATGGGTTATGGTTTGGAAAAGATCATATTTTGGCTTCAAACACCCACTTTTGGTGGCACAAACATCGCTGGAAAAGCAGGGATGGGTCAGTGAAAAACATCCCAGAGCAGGAAAATACTGCGAAGGGTTGGTAACAACACCCTGGTGGGAATCTGTAACTAACTGCAGGGAGTGTGTATTGCAGTGGTTGTTGGGATAACAATGGGATAACATACTGTCGGAGCGGTAAAATGAGACATTTTTTGGACTAATGGGGCTTTGAAATTTTGGGCTGTGGGAACAATGACGTGGCACTAGTCATACAGGATGTTGTATTTGCTGCCCATTAAAGCAAACCTGAAACAATTAATCGATGAAGATCTGTCTGGGAAAAAGAACAGTTATTTCAATACAACTTCCTGTGCAGAAAACAGATGAAGGCAGACACGTCATCATGCGCCTGGACAGCAGACATTGTTTCATCCATTCATCTTTCATCCAGTGCTTACTGGACACTGCAGTACTGTCTGGACAACAGACATCTATCATTTTAAAAATAAGACATAAATCAGTGACAAATGATGAAGAAATGTAAGCACAGGAAACATTGCCCACATGTGCTTGTTTATTATTAAATATGATATCTATGGTCACATTCATGAAATTGCTTATTCCACAAAAACAATATCTTGTCCAAGTGGTTTGTCGGTCTTCAAAAATGTTACTGGTTTAGCTGAACCATGTTAATGTATCCTGTATCTGAACCCCTATCTGTTTACTCATTAACTCATTGCCTTACTGTATTAACATGTAAGTTAGAGGGTCATCAAATGTGTACACATGTCAGCTTTGCATTGCTGCCTGCTCCAGACATGTAACTCGCTCCAGCTTTAAATAAGCACAATCTGAGCAGAGCTTTGGGGACCACCGTCCTTCCTGCCATCTGGTCTCTGTGGCTCGCCCTGCAGAATAACACTCCCAACTAAAACCCTCTCTCTCTGTCTTTCTGTGTCTCCCAGGAGTCCACGCAAGTGAGGTGAGGACAAGGACGAGATCTGCATCTGCCCCATCTGTCTATCAACAAACCAAGTGCCTCGGTGCCGGCCACCCTCAGGTCACCTCAACCACAACGGGCGCCAAACAATAAAAGTCCTGACCCGGCGTCCCTCAGACAGCCTGGGCAAAGCAAATATTTGAGGCCATTATATCTAATTTCTCCGGGCAGCCATCGCTGAAAAGATCAACAGTGAAGGGTGTTGTTGGGAGACAGAAAGAGAGAAGAAAAAAGTGGGGGAAGGAAAAAGTAACCCTTTCAAAGTGCACCCTGCCTGCTATTTCTGCTGCGCTGTGGGCAGGGAGCGTCTCATTTGGGAGTGCTCTTGGCTGACAAAAAAAGGACTTCCCTGTGCCCTGCCTGCCTATCCAAATGCCTGTGTAAATACTGGATAGAGATATCAATTTGTCTGGGCTCTGACATTACCCAACAAAGAGGCTGTAAGCTATCTATAGAAAACGTTACGACAAACTTGGACTCTGTGGTCTCCTGAATTGCTACCTATCTATTACCCCTCAAGGAAGATTCAAGAGCTGTGTGAACAGGAATGAGAACTGCCGCAGTTTTCTACACTTAGAAACTTTTGCAAACTCAGAAGAAAATTTCACAACAGCTGCTCTCTGCGGGACACCGGAAGCAGTCGGTCAACTAGAGGCTGCATTTTTGATGTCTCTCCCAGCTTACTGAATCAGCATGAAGCCCCTAACGCCAGCTGGATCCCCCTCTCCTCTGAGGCTCCTCAACAAGGGTCCAGACTACCTGCGCAGGCAGATAGATGGTGGAGGCCACGGCCGCGCAATCAGCGCTGTGGAGAGGCTTGAGGCCGACAAAGCAAAATATGTGAAGACCCAGCAGGTGATCAACACCAAACAGGAGCCTGTGCTGGTGCCCTGTGCCACCCCACCACCACAGCCCCGGAGAGCGATTGCCATCCCCGGCAGCCTGACGCCTCATCTACCCCCACGCCGTTCTTCCAACACCCCTTTCTCTACACTCTCCTTCACGTCAAGAGACGAGAATGAAAACGACGACTCCAGGAAGGAGAATAGACGGACTTCTGTTGACGTTGAGGCGCATAACAGGAGCAATGTGAACAAAGCACTGCCTCCCAACCCCAGGACTCCTGGCATTAACACCTTGGTAGCGCCACATAGTGCACCTGTACTCAGAAGAAGCACAGGCAAACGCATGCTGAGGCCGGACTCCCTCGTCATTTACAGGCAGAAGAAAGAGTGCAAGAGTCTGAGTGGTGCAGCAGTGGGAGAGAACAATAACTCAGAGGTGAAGGGGTATAGCTTTGTCCGCCGGCTCTTCCAGGGCTCCATGAGGGAGAAGAGTAGCGGAAGTGAAGGCAGAATCCAGAAGATGGTCATTGGTGAAGAGAAAGCACCATCAAGGGATGGAGACTCCCGAATGTCTTGGACCAATGACAAAGACACTATGGACGGAGGACTGGGGAGCAGACGGTCTAGTAAAACTGACCAAGAACGCAGCCCAGGGTCGATCCCGAGCCCGGGGTTTAGCTGTGTGCTTGAACGGACTGAAAACGGATTTACAAATGGTACCAGTAATGGTATCACCAATGGCAACCACACAAGTAACCATGATGACGAGAACGACCCGTGGAAGCGGGCGTCACCCCCACCAGCACCCAGAAGGCACCTTGGGGAGTTGCGGCGCTCCCAGTCAGACCTGCGTCTGCGCTGCTCGGTGGCGTTATCAGAGCAGGAGCATTTCTTTGACTTCTGCGGGCTGGACGTGGACATGATAGAGCGTCTGGGTCGAGAGAATTTTCTCTCTGGCGCCAGCTCCATAGACACACTCTCATTGGCCCTCCGTAGTGTAGGTGGGGATGGCTGCGGCGGCTCAGAGCCCAGTGAGTTTTCCCAGCACTCAGGAGATGGGCTGTTTCAGGAGGAGCTGGCTGAGCAGGTTCCCACTGGTGTGTCAATCATTGAGAGGAACGCTCGAGTCATCAAGTGGCTTTACGGGTGTAAGAACGCTGCTCGAGAGGGACCCAAAGAATCTACTGTTTAATATAGGGACAGGGAACCATGTGACGTGGAGTGTGAGAGTCTGAAGGTGTCCTTATGTGTTCTTTATAAGTGAAATCACCTGGTGCAGACCTTTGCCCATTGTGCAGAAATTTGCTGTTGAGTTTGCACTGCAAACCAAAAGTCATAGCATTGAGTCACGACTAAATTTCACTTGATTTCAAAAAAGCCACATTCAGGCTGGGCTGTGATTAGCGAGCAGCGATGCATCACAGAAGGAAAAAATAGGACTTGTTTCTATTTGTGAGCCTCGAGCAGCGATGCAAGTCAAAGCTCCTAGCAAAATGTGACTTCTCTTTAAATTTAGAATGAGTCTCTGACAGTCAGCTCAGGATTTGTTTGTCGAATTAGCACTCCGTGGCACATGATTACCTTCAGTCCCTCGCTCTCTGCTACTCCAAAGAGACTGTTTCTTCAAATGAGAGGACAAGCTCCGAGTCATCTCTGGTCAAACTGATATATTGTATTTATAGAGCCTATGGACATATTGTGTGGATGTGGACAGACCTTACTGGTGAATGGAACCATTATTCCCAGCAAAATGTTATGTGTGTGTATGTGGCTGTGTGTGGAGTAGACACTGCCGTCCTCTCCATTTGTAGCTTCAGTTATTGACCGAACTGATCCGAAATCAGCCCCTGTGACACCTCACGAGGCACATAAGTGTGTGTTTGTCACGACACAGTGGAAACAGTCTAGTGTCCTTGACGCCGACACTCTCCCTTAACGACTAAATTAAAATGGAAAACCACTAAGCTATGTTTTTTTCTGAACTGGAAAACTGTTGTGTGAGTGTGAAGTGAACCATGAGTACCTCATTCGGATCTGTCCCAGTTTAGTTTGTGTGTTGCTTTTTTTTTTTTTTTACTACTTAAACGCAGGCGTTGGAACAAACATGCGAGGCACCCCTGTGGGGTTGTTAATGCACTGAACTGGACAGAGAGGGAGGAAATGACAGAGAGAGATATAGCTCTGATTCTTTAAAGAGATTCATCTCACATAACGTTAAACACTGAGCTGGATTCAAAGGAGCACCTGCATCGAGGAGGACATTGAGGAGCCATGCCTGGCCAGTAATTTTTGTCATTTTCATCTCATTTTTTAAACCCTAAAGAGTCTCACAAAGTAAAAACACTGTCCAATAATCACGTGTGACACAGCCATTGATTGCTAATGCTTAATGTGTGTTCAGTGCTCACAGCTATGGCTGCAAGAAGAGCATCAGGGAAAGATTCCTGTCAGAGCAAACTGGACTTTTGCAGGCAGATACAAGCACAATGAGAGTTTAAATCTCACAGAGGAAGTTTCAAAAATGAAGAAAATTTCATGAAAATAATACAGTCACCTCCAAAAGTAAAAGAGCTAAACTACCGCAAACTTTTTTAAGACGTCACTTTCACCATCTGGCAGTTTACAGACGTTTAACCTTCCCAGCTGGCTCGGTCAGCACGTTTCCCATCAAAACAAGCAGGGGAGGCTGAAGCTGCCCTCCTTTCTCTGATAACCACAGATCCTACCTCACGTCATCCATCCTTCAGTGATTCTCACTTTATCTCCATGAAAGGTCACTTCCATTGCTTGACCTGAAGGATGCCACTGAAATATGAACTGAGCGAGAGGGGTGGGGGGGTCTGCCGAGGTATGCGAAGGTTAGACCGAGAGGCGTTCAGGGCTGAGAATGACTGAAACCAAGGGCACGGTATATTTATATGTGTGATAAATTAACACAATTAACTGCAGCTTTGGTGTTTGATTTTCTGTATTTATAATCAGCATGGCACACTCCTGACATCCCTTCAACCTGGACTTTTTTTTGTTTTTATATCTCCTTGTTAAAAACCGTTTGGTTGCATGTTTACAAAGTGGCTCCATGAAAATCTGAATCTCTTTTTTTTATTTGATATATAAATATATATAAATGAGAGATTTAGTTTTATTCCAAAGATGTTTGTGTATGATGTACACAGCAAATAAACACAAAGAAAGAAATATTTGTTTGGAGGTTTTTTTGGTGTCTTTGTTGTGTTTTGGGTGAAATTTCAATCTTGTAACCTTCATTATTCAAATAAATAATTTATATTACATTACATTAGACTAAATAGATCAGTCAATATAAAAACACAGATAAAGTGATGACTGTGTTGTTCTCTAATCTTCTCCTGGTCGACTGAGTCAGTGTTGTGACGCTGCCACGTCCTTGACTCCTTTGTTGCCTCCCTCCACCACATCATGTCTCATTTTTCACATTATCTCAAGTGGCTACGCGCTAATCCTTTTAGCATTCCCTGCATGCTCTGCTCTTGAGTGAGTTGCAACAGGTTGTGTTTATAGACAAGGAGGTCTCTGTGTGGCCCGATGCTATGTCTACACCGTCCGCGAGCTGACACTCCACCCTGTCTGCAGACTCCTCCTGACACTGTTTGTCTCTTCTCTCCTTCACAGACCTGAGTCAGCTTTTATTTCCACAGCCAGCCCACAGTGTATTCAAATCTCAAGGGGAAAAAATCTAAAACTATTTTTGTTTTGTGACGACCAATCTCACCAGTCTCAGAGCTCGAATCTTGAAGTGAAAATATCAGGTGTCGCTTTTTGGAGTGGGTCCAATCATTGTCAGTAAATTGGTGAGTGACTGAATTTTTGTCTAAAAAAAGTTAAGCCTTTTGGGAAATATGCTTATGCACTGCTGAAAGTTAAATTAGAGGACTGAAACCACTCATTTATCTGATGGGTGGTTTTAATCTTCTCATCAGAAAGCACACTGGAGAAGTTTTTCTTGTAGGCTTTCTGTTATGATCTAGTAAGAAAATAAGACTCAGTTGCACAAAGCACAGTTTATCAAATCCAAATCTTTTCTTAGGAGGTCAGGGGTCAAACACATGAAGGCAGTCAGCAAAGGCAGAAAAGTCCATAAGTGCAAACAGAATCAAAAACCAAGGAACCAAACACAAGGAAAAGGCTGGAGAGCATGAACACTAGGGCGACAATGACAGTTTGGCAAGTGAATGAGCGAAACACTGCGGCTTAAATACACAAGGGCTGATAGCTAAGTGCGCAGAAGGTGAGTGGAACAAGACACAGGTGAAACACGAGGTGATTATCAAAGGCGGGAAAACTTGGGAAGTGAAAGAAACACTAAACACAATGAGAACACATTTCAAAATAAAACAGGAAGTGGACACAATCACATGAACATAAACTTGGGAGAATATCACACTTTCTCCCTGACAGCCCTTTCTGACAAAAATCTATACATTTTAACTCAAACCTATGAATGAACCAACCAACTGATGAATGGGGAAAAATGTTAGAAATGAAAACAACAACAAAAAAAATCCCTCCCAAAAAAAATCATAATTGGTTTAAGTGTATGCTAAATTTAGAACAGTGGTTCCCAACTGGTGGGTCGCAGTCCAAATGTAGGTTGCAGGCCCATTCTGAATGGGCCGCAAATGACTCGTAAATGTGTCAAGTTTCAGCTACTTGACAGAGACAGCAAACTAGCTCAATGACATGGTCAAATGCAAGTATGTATACTATAATGTATTAAACTGTGTGGACCTTGAACTAGAGCTTAGATTTTCTGCCTGAGCCCAGCCCGCGGGCCCAAGCCTGTTTTTTTTTTTTTTGTTTTTTTTTTGTTTTTAAAGCTATGATTTGATAATGTTAGAGGCTATGTATTGTAGCGACCCTGCAGTAAATGTTCTGTTATAATGTCAATGTTCTGTGAGTTAATGGCATGTTTGGGATTGAATGAGGTGCGGGGGTGCGAGTGTGTGTATGAGCGAGCTGGAGGAGAGAGCAGCAGTGCACAGTTGGAGTTACAGCTAAGTTGTTGTTTGTTGGTTGGTTTGGTTGGTTGGCCGTGGTTACGGCCAAAAGTAACCTGTACTGTTAAGTAATAAACGGTGGTTTGCCGAATAACTGCGTCATCCTTTCCACACGTCCTGGCAGACGCTACAGTAGCCTATTATAAAAAGTAAAATTAAACCACACTTTGTATGACACATAAAGTTAAAACAAAGTTAGTTACAGTTAGTTTGAGGTGGCTAAAATAAATTTTGCTGTGGCTTAGTTTCAGTGCCGGTAGATTTAGTTTATCAAAGACGCTAGTAGAGCAACACAGCAAATAAAATAAACACACAAACGTTAGATAGGCCAGACCACCACATTTAACTACATATTTATGTTCCAGTTACGGCTGAAAATGATGACAGAGCAAACTCAAGCAACTTCAACTGCCCCTTGTCATGTTAGCATGATGTCATGGTTTTTCTGTCTATAAAAGTACATTTTCTGTTTCAGAACTGAGAATGCTACAATAGAATAAAGCTCATTTGGGTGTAAAAAAGAGAACAAACATTATGTGCATCCACAAAATCAGGCTCTCATTCATTGTCTATGGAGCAGCTCCAGACTTTGCACCCCATGACATCACTAGTTTGAGACTCCCTTCTCTGGTTTCTGGCTTTGAGAGAGAGTAGCTCATGTTCACAAATATTGATTGAACTTCACTAGACTGTGGAAATACCATATTGGAATTCTCAGTTTAGGTGGTGCTTCCCTTTAAGATGTCATAATGAGCTTTATTTATTCCTATAGGGCTCACAGATGTGAATTACAAAATGTCTCCACATCCCAATAAATCCACCCTGTGTGCTGTTTGGCTACAAGTTGCTTTATTGTTCACTGCGTGGAGTAGCTCCAGGGTTTGTCTGAAGATGACTTCATCAACTGCTCAGCTTGATGAGCGACTTAAAATTAAAAAATATAAAATATCTACTTTAGGAAGAACTTCTCTTTAAAGAAGCCCAAAATGGTTTAAGGGCATTTAAGGATACAGTCATCTGACACATTCTCAGGGCTCTTTTTTTGCAGAAGCTGAACAAAATTTTGCTCGCTGGTTTGTTTCCTCAGATAGCTCTAAAGTCTGCAAGTCTAGAGCAACACATACACTCTAACTACACACATAAACACACACACATCCAGTTTCTCCATCCCTTTAGCACACTTCCCTTTCCCTCTTTCTGTCTTTCCCACAGCAGAAGAAAACAATGGCCCTCCTGTGTGCCTGTGTCCATGTCAGTTACTCTGACCGGAGGGCCTGCTGTGACATCCTGTTTTGGGTTCATAGGACAAGGTTTAAACATATGGTCATGTTTTGGGTTTGGCCTTTTCTTTCTCAGTCTGCGTGGAAATAAACAGACAACAGCTGGTTCTGTAGAGGATAATTCAGATTTTATTATTGCAGGGTTGTCGTGGTTTAGTTTGGTTTAGTGTTGAGCTCTTCTAAAGTCAAGCTAGTGTACCTGTTTAAGAATTTTGTTGTGCTTGCAGAACATGCCTGGTTGAAAAGGATGATAAACTGGCAGGGATCCACCACTCCAGGCTTTGATGCTGCTGATGTGGTTTTCCACTCACATTAAAAAAACACCACGGGGGGTCCCACAGACCTCCCGCTTTACACTTTTGCCCACCAGCAAATCCTGCCCAGCAAAGTTTTGACCCAATTATGACTTGAAACTGATGTGGAGTTTTGACTGATAAAGCATCTCTTGAAACTTTGCAAAACTATTCTCAGCAATTTAATAACACACAAATGTACAAACTGTGATTCACGCAAGCAGTCGTGGGTTTACTTCATTTTGTTTTCTTACAGCCACAGAAGCATAACAGACTTATTTCTAGGGCAACAAATGAAAAGCCGATTCCTGTCTCGCCTGGAGTTTTAAACTCACTGGTCTTGAACGCCTCTGGCCACTGTCACAACAAGACTTTTTCAGTGTCACATCGCAGAGGCAGTCAGAACATGAGCTTCTTTTGGGCTAAAAACCTCCAGTCCAGCTGTT